GTATTGTATAAAATAAGGGATATTGCTGACAAAATAATTTTGTCTTGCAATTGAGAAAAAAACTGCCATCTTTCACTGAAAGTCATTATTAGTTTTAACTTATTTTTTCTTATTATTCATTGCCAGATTCTAATGAATTTTGAATATAACCAGGGGGTGATTTAACCTGAGCTAATGCCCAAGACTTTTGACCAATTTAGGATTTTGAAGTTGCTGCTACTGAAGATTCAGAGAATTTCTTAATTTTCTCATTGAACTGCTTCCTTTACCAGAGAAACAAATTTTATTATCTCTGTATTTGGATAGTATATGCTTATATGCAAAGCAGCACATGTGATGCATTTTCCTGAGGTGTGACAGAATGTGTACTCTGGTTCCTGCAGCTTAAAAATGCTTTGTTTAATAGAATAAAGCATCAGATTTTTGTCTTCCTTTTATTGTATGTTTATTTGTGTGAGCCCTGAAATAAACTGGTAACCTTAGGTATGTGTTTCTATTTTTGACACAAACAGTTTTGGATTTCACATAACGTGATTTTGTATGGGAGTGAAAATGAAAACAAACATAAAACCAATTTTTTAAAAATGTTTTCGAATATAAATATAATATATACTAGCATAAGGTTAAAATATTAATTTTACCTGGATATTTTTTTCTCGTTTTTTCAGACTTGGAAAATTTTAAGACTCAAAGACGGAGCTCTGTATCTGTACGTGAGGGTCAAGGAGTGGTTCTTCTGTGTGGTCCTCCCCCACACTCTGGAGGTAAGACATAGAAGTTTGTTTTCACACACAATAGACAACTGTACTAAAATAATYCATTAGAATGTTGCCTGAGAGGCATCTTTGAATTTAAACCCATTGGTAGTTGCTTTGACACATCTTTAAGATTTAAGGTTCAAAGTAAGCTTGGTTTGTCAGTGACTTCAGTCCCATTTATGAATATTGCATATTTGKCTTTTTTATTTTATGTGGACAAACATGAACTTGAATAGAAAAACTTGTCTGTTTTCCACGATTACTTGTAACATCAGATTTTATTTGATTAACATATATTTTAACTGCAAAATATAGTCTGTAAAAATGCTGTAGGCTGTTAAGTTTAGTAAATTTTTAAACAGACATTGTAACACGGAAGGAGCCATTTTATTTACAAGCAAAGCATACCGGGTAAATGATGACGTCAACTAGGTCATTGGTGTGAGGCTGCAAGCCAGCTTTGCCCACCTTGAAGGTTAAGGAGAATGTGTAGCTATTATGTATATGTGGCGATACAGCATCTGCGCTAGCGCAAGATAATTCTGAGCCGCTGAATTTGGTTTCTCTTTAGATATGGACAGTGTTGTGGTCATATTATTAATGAATATGCCTTTTTTGTGTTTAATGCTGCYTTCACACCAAATGCGATTTCGGTATAAAATTGCATCCAATGCTTCAAGTTGGACGCTTGTGCTCTTTGAGGTCAGACGTAGGTCAGCTCTTGAAGCTCTCGCACGTGAAAAGMCTCCCTGCCCCTCCCTCTTCTGCCGGTCTCTCCTCTGTCGGCCTCTGTTTAATGTCGGATGAAATACAGGAAGTGGCTTTGCTTTACTTACAGAGAGCAACAGCATGTCACGCTCATCAGATAATTAATTCATAATTATTTCACCAGATAATTCAGAGACGTTCTGAGTTTGGTGAGTTTCATCACACAGGAGCTGCGATATAGGCTCACAGCTCACTTTCAGAACCATTTTTTTGTCCCGAGTCCAGTCTGATGAGCCGCTGACCCGCATTGGTGTGGATATCTCCTGTCAGGACACCGACTACCGGCACTCACTTTCAGCTAAAGAGCTCCTCTCCATCTATTTCAGGTTAGTAGACATCATTCAGTAAACTGTCCCGTCGGGAAATATGTCACTACGTCACACAGTGGAGTCTCTCTGATTGGTTGACGTGGTGCACCGGGCTGCAAAAGTTCGGATTTTCTAACTTCAGCGATTTGCGCCTCAGCGCGTCGAACGCTCAAATCGTTCAAATCGCGCTGCTCTAATCGCGCTTGACACGCCGCAGCACTTCCCGACGCTGCTTGAAGCACGTCCACCCTATGGTGGACGTGCTTTGCATACTTTGTATGTAAACCTGATGCTCCTGACGCTCAAATCGTGTTTGGTGTGAACGCACCATTACTATTAAAATGCACTCCACACTTATTATTTTTGGTGTATGTTTAATCCAAAGAGTATTCCTCCATGGTTATTTTAGCATTTACGAGATAACACTGATTGCCCTAAGTGTGTGTCGAGAAACTTTTTTTTTACTGTGTTTTGAACATGTCATAACTCTGGCTGTTTCAGCAGAAAAGGCTAAGTTAAGCTTAAAAAACTGCRTTTTTGAAAAAGACAACTCTAGTTGTCACCTGCGTTTTAGATCTGCAACGTATAATACTAAAAATTGCATTATGCCTAACCACAAMTGATTGAGWATGCCATTCATTCCTATATTACAYTTYAATTTAATTAATTCAAGCTTGTCCATGTTAACTACCAAGAGTCTGCAATAATTTGCGTTATTATGTTGTGGCCACAAATCATATATCTAGATAGTAATGCATGGCATTAACTTTTTTATTCAATATCACCGGATAGGCTCCATAGAATTTAATATAATTTAAAAATAATTAAATGTTTATTTTCAGTGCGTTAAAAACTACAGTCACAAATGTCAATCAGTTTTACACAATATCGCTTTTTGAAAAATGTATTTAAAAAAACAGTAMCATTGTTGCGAATATGTTTCTTTCATTTAAATTTTAAAATATTTTGAAAGCGTAGTTAGCAGTTATAAATGTAAAACATACATCACTGTAGAATATATGCAAACAGTAGGTATTTTAAGTTTACGTGAAAATTGCAGGCATATTTTAGCTAAGAGGTGCTAGCAGGCTAATTGATATCATGTAATCATATCAACTGGATTGTTAATTCCACCATGCTGATCTMCCATTGTTGTGAATATTTTACAGCTACGTGCATTACATATACAGTAGCAACAAATAAAGTTAGTTGCGTACATATATCAGGCAGCAACAGTGCATAGCACTGCACCAGAGAGTCTGAAGTTTGAGCCTAAACTGTGAGTCCCTGACATACTTTGCATACTTTCAAGCACAGTTCATCAACAAACCACGTCCACCCCTCAAAACATGACACCAGGTCATCACATTTCAAGATAAAGCTCATCTTCCTCCTCTCTTGCCCCCCAGCCAAACAGACATCTCACCCTCCTTTGACCCACAGCTTTCCTGTCAAACCTCAGATGTTTTATCTTCAACCTCAGTC